ATAAGCTGGCAGTCTGGAGCAAGGGCTGGATTCATCATGGTGCCTGATGTCTGGTCTGTGACCCACTTACCTTGGTGGTGCTCCCTGGCCAAAGCCCTGCTTGCTCTGTCCTGAAGATGGGCAAGGAATCACTTTCCCTAGGGCACTTTTCCTTTGTGGACAAGTGACAATGAAACCAGGAATTGTCCTGAAAGAAGTCTAGCTGGTTCCCTTGTGGAAAAAAAGAGGTATTTGCAAAATACAGTACCCTTGGGAGAACCAACAAAAGAGCAGTTGTGCCCAAATCAGCCCAGGCAAGCCAAATGCCTTTTTGGAGGAAGTGAAGTACAGCCTTTCAGATGCTAACTAGGTATTTGGGGTTTCAGTCATTTGCTGTATGGAGGAATTGATGCACCATTGGCTCTCAGAGGATGCCTTGTAATTAATGCATTGGCTTTTGCTGGCCCTTAGCCTTAGCGTTTGTGCCTTCTGTAATGGCAGGAAGGGGTGTGAGACTGTCTTGAGCTAACGCCTGCGGGGACAGATAGGAAATTCAATAGGAGACAGATGGAACGGACATTTCAGAGATCTCAGCAGTGAGGAGATGTCACTGCTCAGGCCCTCGGCGACTCACAGTGCTCCTGTTAAATGAAGTTTTGAAATTAGCATCTTCACTGAAAAGCCTTTCCTAAGGCATGACTGATGTTTCCAGGTAGAGCATTTTCCTGCGTCTTAATGGAATGGGAGGAGCACTTTATTCTTGGACACGATACCTTTCTAGCAGTATTGATGAACTTCCCTGTAAGAAATTCTGATGTCATTTTTTTGATCTGCTTCATTGACTGGATTAATCAGCAGAGACACGCCTCCGGGTCCCTGAGTTGGCTTGCTTTCATTAATTTGCACTCAAGTCTTTGCTGAACAAAGAAGGATTTGTTGAACAAAGTGGGGTCAGTACTGGGATGAAGAACCTTGCACCTCTAGCCTGCTAGCTTGAATTAGAACTGAGCCGTAACTGTTAAGTCGTACGTCCTGTGGCTTTGTAAAAACACCCTGGCCTCAATCCCTGCTCCTGTGGAGCCTGCGACCTCAAGAGACACCTGGGAGAGATGGCCTTCAGGCTGGTCAGTAGCTTCCCCAAGCTCCCTAAATGAGGCACAGTCAGAAAGCAAGGTAGGGAAGGTGTGAGCTACTGCTGCTGTAGAGAAGAGGTGTTCACTTCATACCCTGATTGTTTTAAAGGCTAAATGCAGTCTTCAGAGGGGCAATAATTTAAAGAATAGTTTAATTAAAGGCAAAACAGGTGTGTGAGTAGAGGGGTTTTGCAGGGTCAGCTCTTGTGAGCAGCCCCTGGGCCAGGTGCAGGTTGCATTTCTCTAGGTGCCCCTCAGACGTTTTTCTCTCCTCTCTTCCAGCTCTTCGAGAACTTCTACTTTGGAGAGGTGCAGCTGGACTCAGTGCGACTTTCCCAGAGGTTCTCCTCGGATGCCTCTGGCTACTATGCAACATCTGGCCAGCTGATGTTCTGAAGCGGCAACGCGGGTACTGCAGCAGGTTCACTCTGTGCAGAGGCACGTGTTCGTCAGTGAAATGTTTTTATGGGACACGAATTTTGGATAGGAACCTGGGAACTCCAGCAGGAATGCCTCACTTGAAAGCCCATTGCAGCTGGGAACCATGGCATTCCCCAGGAGCTTTTCCTACACATGCTGCTTGCCCTCCCTTGCAGGGGAACTGGGATCCTTCCACCTCCTTTCCCCATTGGTAGTGGAAATGTTGCAAAGGTGCCCGTGTGATGTCTGTGGCCTGTTCGTTCTCCAAGAAAACAACTAGAAAAACTGGTGCAGGTGGCTTTTGGGGCATCGCCGGTGTTTAAGCATAGCTTTCTTTCAGAAGAAGGAAGTTTGTTCTTGAAATAAGTATTTAAAACCCAAGATTGATCCCTGGAGCATGATTTAAGGATATTGAGGTCAGGCATTGCTTGGATCTCCAGCAGTGTGCCTGTGTGATGTAGATCTCCAAATAAAGTAATTCCCTTCAAAAGCAAAGTGTTTATCTCCTGTTGCACTGATAGTTTCTGTAATTAAACTTCCAGCAGACGACTATGTTAATAAAAAAGCATTTATGGTAGGAGCTTTTTCCAGTGACCGTTTTGGAGCGTGACAAAAAATATACGCCTTGTAGGTGGTTTCTCTGTTAAAAGGAGCGCAAACCTCTTTGATACCATTGTGATTATTTCAGAGATCTGAAGACAACTGTTTGCTCTTGTAAATCAACATGTTCAGTAAGAACAGCAACACAAGCTTTCAGCTTGCCTGAGGATGAACGGTTTGAAAAATGGAAGATGCTGGTGGTTAGTTGTTCTGCAACAACCTGGCAGTGACAGCAGCTGCTACTGCCCCTTCCTAGTTGCTGCCATGAATGTGTAATTATGCTGTCATCGGAATGGGGAGTGTGTTAGCTAGGGATGGGGCTGCTCCCTCAGCACCCACTTTTACTAAGTGATTGTTTATAAGAGGTTTTAATCCCATCTCCTTCCTCCCAAAATGAGCTGGTGTGGCTGTGCTCTGACTGCATGCCTGAGCAGCAGTTGGAGATGGTCAGGATTTGGAGTGGCTTGCTTTTTTTCCCCAAAATGTGTTGCCAGTTGCATTTCCAAGACCAAACTGACGATCTCTGCCTTCAAGCCTGCTTGCCAGGAAATAAGTCATATGTGGTTGTGCTGGTTGCCTTTTACTGTGGCATCCGTGTTTGCACCCAATTACAGCCGTGGGGCTTCTTGCCTCTGCTTTTTCTTGCAGCCAAATAAACGCCTTTGTGCTCTCAAAGTGAAGGAAGATGGGTCACTCAAAACTCTTTCCTCAGCAAGCAGAGCACTGGCATGCTCGCTAGCAGCCCAATGCAGGGAGGTGCTGAGAGCACTTGACACCAGTTTCTGTCATCTTTCTGCCAGCCTGAAGAGGTACTCGGCAAATCTCATCAGCCACCCAAAGAACAGACCTGGGAGCTACGCGCACAGCCACCAGCCGTGCTGCCTGTGCAGGAAGAGAGATGTACCTCAGAGAGCTCCTGGGTGATTCTGAGTTGTTCTTCACTGAGGTGGGCTCACAGGGCAGCTGGCCTTGGGAGTGAGCCCTCTCACCTCCCTCATGTGGGACTAGATTTGACCTTCTGAACAGCATATTGGCATGGAGGCAAACACGACTTTTCTACAGGGAAGGGGCTGACCTAAGGATACTCCTTCACTTCCCACTAGGGCAGACGTGTTCTAAGGACAATTATTTCTGTGAGCATTTGGAAGTTGGTTGAATTTCGGTGGTAAGCAGCTTATCCCGCTGCTCTAGCCTGGCATGGCTAAATTTGTTTCACACCCATGTTCCCGGGCAGGATTACGAGTTCTGGTCTTTTTCTCTCATCCGTGGAGTTGTAGGGTAGGCTGTGATCCAGCAAACCGTTGTGTGTGTACTTAAATTCACACCTCGCTTGATCCCCTTGTATAATGTTAAGCATGCACATGAGTCTGGTGGAGTGGCACCTCTGCTTTGCTGGCAGTGCTTTTGAAACAAGAGCACTTACACGAATGAAGGGGGCAGAGTTGAGTGTTGTATCCCCTCACCCTTACACAAGGGAGCTACTCACATAAATAAAACACAACTGCTGCTTTTTGGGGGTGGGCGCCAGAAGAAAATATACCATGATGGATTATCATCTATCATTGTTCATAAATATAATTAAACAGTTCCATACTGAGCATGATAAAACTGGTTTACGCATGGTCTTGCACCAATGAATTGAAATCCCATCAAACCAGGCAGTGTTATGGCTTTGTAAGATATAACCTGATGCCTAAAACTTGTTAAAACCGAAATCTGCTGCTCTGCTTCTTTTCCCACCTAGGCTGCATTGGAGGCTGGCCACCCTGCTGGCAGATCCCTGCATCCTTAGTGCACAGAGGAAGGAAGTTGCTGTATGCCATCATTTCGCTGAGCAGCAAGACTCGTTGGAGCCCAGGTCAGGAGCACAGTTCATCATTAACCATAAAGTTGAAACTAACAATTTTCTTAAATCCAGCTTTATTTCCAAATGCAGCAGCCTCTGTGTCAGCTTTGCTGCTTCCATGGCCTCTAGCTGCTGCTTCTCCTGTGAGTAAATGCAGTGCTATGTTCTGTTTCTATCCTGAGCATCCTTGCAGAGAAGAAAAGCCGTGTGTGTGCTGGGAGCTCCCCAGCTGCAGCTGGAGTGAGCTGTCTGCATCCTTCCTTGCCTAGCCTCAGCAGAGAGGTCCCTGCAAGTGCCCCATGCCTGCCCTGCCTGCCTGCCTGCCTTCCCTGGGCTGAGAGGATGGAAACCCCAAAAGCAGTGGTGTGAAACATGCCTGCTTTGCTTTGCTAGGTGGCCTCCCTCGGGCCTGGGGTGGACATCCTTCCTGAAGCCCCAAAATGCAGTGCTGGGGTGGCCAAGGGGTCACAGGGTGGCATGGCAGTGATGGGGTAAAAGATGGGGGTTGCAGGGTGGGGACATGGCAGGGACAGAGGATACAGGGTGAGAAGAGGGGTTGGAAAATGGAGGAATAGAGGGTAGGGTTTTGGTGAGGATGGAGGGCAAGGGCTGCAGGGTAGGGGCACGGCAGGGTCAGGAAATGCAAGTTGGGGATTGCAGGATAGGGACATGGCAGGCACCGGGACTGTGGGATGGGGACGTAGTAGGGACTGGGAATGCAGAATGTGGGTTACACGACAGGAATGTGGAAGGGATGGGGGGTGCGCCGTGGGGACGTGGTAGGGACCAGCGATGCAGGATGAGGGATGAAGAATGGAGCTAGGGCAGGGACCGGGATGCAGCCGTGCCGTGCCGTGCCGTGCGATACCGGCAGCTCCCCCGCCCCGGTGCCGGCGCGCAGGTGCGGCGGGCGCGGCGGACGCCCCGCCCCGGCCCTCCCGTCGGTGCCGCCCGGTGCCGCCTCGCGGCCGCACTCGCCGCCGGCGCCTCCCCGTGCGCACCGCACCGCTCCGCTCCCGCCGCGCCGCCCGCTGCCCCTGGCGCTGCGGCAGCATGCGGGGCTGCGGCGGGCGCCGCGCCCTGATGGCCTTGCTGGCCCTGCTCCTGCCCGCTGCCGCCGCCGCCGGCCCCGGGCCCGCCGCGGCGGGAGAGAGCCCCGGCAATTTCATGGAGGATGAGCAATGGCTCTCCTCCATCTCCCAGTACGGCGGTAGGATCAAGCACTGGAACCGCTTCCGAGACGTGAGTCCGCGCCGGCAGCGGGGCGGGGGTGGGGGGAACGGGACGCGCCGCCGGGCACCGGGAGCCCCCTCCCCGCCCGCCGCTGCGGTTGTCGCAGCACGACCCTCCCCCGGCGCCAGCTCCGTCGCAGGCGGCCGGGGGTGCTCGGCGTTACCCGCATCCCGCTGCCTCCCGCGGCGGCCGTGGGCGGCTGCCGGCCCCGGTACCCGGGGGATGCTCGCGGCTCGGCAGCGTCGACACCACAGTGCCCGACGCCACGCCACCGTGCCCATCGCCAAACCTGGCGCGGCTAACGCCAAGGCCACCGTGGCCAGGGCTTGACACTAAAGCCAATCTCGCCAAGGGCTTGGTGTGCTGTCCACTGCACCGCATCAGGGCACAGGCAGAAGCACAGGCAGGCCCTGCCTACCCTTCGCGGGGGCTGCGCCCTAGTCTCAGCTCCTCGGTAGCAGCACAGCGGGGGTCAGGGCACCTCTGCTCCGAGCTCCCCTGAGCCCTGCAGGGAGCTAGGGCCGGCTGTGTCCCGGCGGATGGAGGACGCGAGTCAGGGACCAGGAGGATGCAGGCACCTCCGGAACGATGGCAGGCGACGGGCACATTCGGTTCTGGATCCCCTAACCCTGAGCTTTTACGCAGCTCCTCGGTGGCATATATTTCCAGCCCTTAATTTTCTGAGGCACTTGGGATCTTTCCTGGGCTTATTTTACACCTTTGCCCCCATGTCACACCCAGCTTGTGTCCGGGGGGGCGACGTCGTTGCAGTCTCAGCCAAGGGGGGTCGTCCAGGGGACCTGCGGCAGCCGAGGGAGCGGGGAGGGGGCGCACATCTGGCCCCTCCAGCCTTTGTTCAAGTGCGTGTCCAGGTTCACCTTGGAGCAAGGATGCGCTGCCGGCAGATGTGCCCCACGACACCCCCCACCCCCCCCGATAAACCAGCAAGGGGGACAAAGCAGGGGTGAGGGTGCCTGGGGTGGGCTAATGTCTCCCCGGAGACCTCCACCAGCAGTGTATCCGGCTGGGCAGCGCAGCACTGGGCACCCGAGACCTCAGCCGCCCGCAAAAGGCTCGAGGGGGAGCACGTGTGGATGCGCCTCCATGGCATTGGGTATTTCCGCGGGATCTGGGGCTGAGAGACCCCCATCCCCAGGTGCTAGCAGCACACATGGGGCCTGCCTAGCTGTGCCAGATCCCCTCGGGTCCGGGGGTCTATGACATTGCCGATGGCTAGCGCGGATTAATAAGCAAATCCCGTGGATTTATGTGGGTTTTGGCCAAGCAGCACTGGAATGGGGGGTGCGCGACCCGCGGTGCAGCGGGGAGGAGGCCAGCGGCTGTGCTGAGAGCTGCGCTGCAGGGAGCTGCCGAGCACCGCAGTGTTACTAATCACGGCACGAGAACGCGGCTATCGATTGCAGTGCAACCGCTGCTGCGCCGGAGCTAGAGACATCCCCTCCGGAGCTGCCGCTGATTCAGGCTGCCATCCAAACCCCTGCCTGCCCTCCCCAGGGCTGCAGGGATGCTCCTGCCTTATCACAAAACCCACCACAGAGCATCCTGTGGGGTGAGCGCTGCTGCCTGCCAGGAGGCTCTGAGTCCCCCGCTGCTCCTCCTGGCTCCTGGGATGCTTTCAGGGCCCCGGGGGAGCAGCCCTGCCTCCCCAGGCAGCAGCATCCATGTCAGGCTGCTCCTGGGCTTGCTATGGAAAAATACGGGCAGCAGCACAAGGACTGCCACCCCACAGGGATGCCGTGGGCCCCAGGGGGCTTCCTCCACCTAATACCTCTTCCATCCCTGTTCCCTGCATTTCCTGGCTGGCCAAGGGATGGTGGGGAAGGTTTTATCCTCTAAAAAGGCTCTCCAGGATTACAGGTCTTGAGCCAGAATGGGGGTGGGTGACTGTGACATCTGGGGGTGAAAAGACCTTTGGGCACCTGTGAAGGTCAGGGTGGTGAACTGGCACAGGGTGCCCATCACCGTGGGTTGGGGTCAGGAGCAGAGGTTTTAGGCTGTCCCGGGGCTGACGGTGGGCACTCTTGCTCTCTCTGTCTCTGTCTCTCTCTTTTCCGGTGTCGGCTGGGCCATCTCGCTGCCATGCTGCCAGGAGGTGGAGGTGAGCGTCCAGGGGCCACTTTGCCCTGATGCAGCCTTTTGGAGGGGAGGCTGCTCCCCACCCCTGCTTGCTCCCCTCCTGGGGGGGGTGGGGGGTGTGTGCAATGTGGGGGAAGCCTTGCTGGGCCAGTAGGCCAAATTGGGTGATGGCACACCTGGCCCAGTGTCACCTCTCCTGCCACCTGCACTCATCCAGGCTCTGCCCCCTTTGCAGGACGATTACATCAAGAGCTGGGAGGACAACCAGCCTGGGGATGAAGGTACCACTGGGATGGAGCTGGGACAGGTTTGGGATGGGGCACATGGGGCTTGGTGCCAGCCACCATGGCTGGGGAAACACTTCCTGCCCACATCGCCCAGGCTTTTCCCTTCCAGCCAGGAGCATCACTGGGGCTGATGCATGCCGGGAAGCGGCAGCTGGTGCTGGGGAGCTGCCCAGCTGCAGCCTGAATGGCACTTTGTGCCAGGCCGGCTGCTGGCCGCTGCTGCTGGGATCCCCTGAGGGGTCCTCACCTCCACCTGCCCCTCTCTGCCCCCCCAGCCCTGGACACCACCAAGGACCCCTGCCAGAAGGTGAAGTGCAGCCGGCACAAGGTGTGCGTGGCGCAGGGCTACCAGCGTGCCATGTGCATCAGCCGCAAGAAGCTGGAGCACAGGTAGGAGGGCTGCAGGGCCAGGGCTGAGCCGCTGGCTGGGGGAGGTGAAGGTGCGGGCCCAGCACTGACCCCTGCCTTTCACCCCACGCAGGATCAAGCTGCCGAGTACCAAGGGGCACGGGGGCTGCAAGCCCTGCCACGCCGCGCCGCTCGCTGCCGTCTGCGGCTCCGACGGCCACACCTACAGCTCGGCGGTAAGGATGGCGGCACCTCACCGCAGGGAGGGGGGCACTGCTGTGTCCCCCCCGCCGATGTCCCGCTGCCGCCCCGCAGTGCAAGCTGGAGCAGCAGGCGTGCCTGGCCAGCAAGCAGCTGACGGTGCGGTGCGAGGGGCAGTGCCCCTGCCCGACCCCACACAGCCCTGCCCTCGACAGCAAGCAAGGTGAGTGGCATGGGGAGCACCGGGGGATACCCCCGAGCCCTGCCTGGCCTGACCCTGCACCCCACTGCATGCCATTCCCAGAGCCGTGCACCGGGCAGGACCTGGCTGACCTGGGTGACCGCCTGCGTGACTGGTTCCAGCTCCTGCGCGAGAATGCCAAGCAGAATGGCTCCGGCGGCCTCCCGGCCAGCCCGACCACCGGTACGTGTCCCCGCTGCAGGGGAGGGGACGTGGGGCACTCTCCATGGGGGGATCCTGGCAGCCATGGGCCGCATCCTGCCCCACAGCGCTGGAGAGGAGCGTAGCAGCCAGCTGCAAGGAGGCAGTGGGGTGGATGTTTGCCCGGCTGGACACGAGCGGGGATCTCTTCCTGGAGGCGGCTGAGCTGGCTGCCATCAACCTGGACAAGTACGAGGTGTGCATCCGCGCCTTCTTCAACTCCTGCGACACCTCCAAGGACGGCCGCGTCTCTGCTCCTGAGTGGTGCTTTTGCTTCTGGAGGGAAAGTGCGTTGTGTCCTGCTGGGGCAGGGGGTGCATGCCTGCGGGTGGTGCTGTGGGGTCAGGAGGATGCATGCCAAGGGGTCAGGGTAATGCACATTGTGGGGTCATAGGGAATCCATGCTGTGGGGTTAGGGTAGGGGGGATGCTTGCCATGGCAGGAAGTGCACTGGGGGGATACACACCATGGTGGGGGATGCATGCCATGGGATTTAGAGGGATGCACACTGTGTGGTCATGGGAAATGTATGCTGTGGAGTTGGGGGGGGGGGCAGCACACTGGTGGGGAGGTAGGGGATGTGCATGCTGTGGGGTCGTGAGGAAGTATACCATGGGTTGGGGGGGTGCAAACCATGGGGGCTGCAGGTCTCAGCGGGCTGTATGCCATGTGGTTGAGGGGGAATGTACACCATGGGGATGCACTCTGTGGGGTCAGGGGCTGCCATCATAGGGCTGGGGGATGCACACCCACCCTAAGAGGGTATACGGGGGTGCTGCAGAGCCGCCCTGTCTGAGGGAGCTGGAGAAGATTCAGATCCAAGAAGCAGCTAAGAAAAAGCCGGGTGAGTGAGGGGTCCCAGGACATTTGTCCCCTGGCAGGGCCCTGCACAGCCAGGCTGGGGAGAGATGGGGACCTCTCTGGGGGGCCCTGCACTGCATGTGTGTGGGTGGCCGTGGGGTGTCATTGCTTCCCTGCAGGCACCTTCATCCCCAGCTGTGACGAGGATGGGTACTACCAGCGGGCACAGTGTGAGCCGGGTGGCGGTGAGTGCTGGTGTGTGGACCAGCATGGTGTCGAGCTGACGGGCACCCGCAGCCATGGCAGCCCTGACTGTGGTGAGCGCACAGAGATGAAGCAGGGGGTGACCCCCCTGCCCGGGAAGGGGGCCACAGCCTCAGGACGCGGCCGTGAGCCTCTGCCCCTTGCCCCGACAGAGGAGGCAGCGGGGTTTTCAGGTGACTTCGGAAGCAGCGTGGGCTGGGAGGACGAGGAGGAGAAGGAGCCGGAGGAGGCGGGTGAGGAAGGCGAGGAAGAGGAGGGCGAAGCAGGCGAGGGCGATGATGGTGGCTACATCTGGTAGAGAAGCAGCAGAGCCTGGCAGGCGGCACAGCCGGGTGGCAGCCCCCCAGCGAGGGGTCCCTGTGAACCCCCGCCACTGGTGTGGCGCGGGGCGGGGGTACCCCCGCGGCCCTGTGTGGGATGGGGCACCGGGGTGCTCGCCCAGGGAGAGGGGGCGAGCGGGGCGGGGAGCTGCGCTTGTGCGAATCTGAGCTTTTTGTCTTTGGGTAAAGCCGAGCAGGCCTAGTGCGTGCCCTGCGCCCGGGCCAGCAGCGCTAATAAACGTGGGGAGGAAAGGAACAAAACCAAACACCCCCTCCGTAGATAACCTGACCCCCCGCCCCGCATCCCCCTCGTGCTGTGCTTGCGTGGCCACCCCGGCCCTGGCGTTGTGTAGCGGCTGTGAAATAAATACCCCGTGCTGTGTCAAGCGCTCTTCCTCCCGTGCCTGCCCTGATGCCCGCCATGCTCCTGTGAGGGGAGCCAGGGCTGGTGGGGTGCCCCTGCTCTGCTCCCGGCGTTCAGCTGACATAAGGGTGGAACTGACCTTTCTCCAAACATACTCCTCACCCCAGCACCTGACCCCAGCCCAGCCCCAAATTAGCCCTATCTTCCCCCCCCAGAGGGCCCTGAGCCACACCAGCACCCAGAACTACCATCTTTTCCCGATCCTGGACCCCAACCTCTATCCCTTCCCAGTCACGACCCCTATTCAATCCCACTCCTGACCCAAAACATCCCTTACAAGACCACCCCACACCACAGCACACCAGGGCCTCAACTCACAGCATTTATGGCTCCAGAGAGAAAATGAAACAACCCCCAAGCTACCCCCCAGTTTGGGGTCACCAGCAGCTGGCAAAGGCACTGCCTTTGTCCCCCACCCCACGATGCCCACCCTCCGCTGGGGTCCAGGCACTCAGTCCTGACAGCATCGGGCAGCGCTGTCCCTGTCATAAGCCCCCCACAGGGGGGTCACAGCTTGCTGGGAGGCCCCGGATGCTGCTGGAGCCGCCAGGCCGCCCGCACCCCCTCACCCGCCCTGTTGAGCCCAGCAAAGGCAGCAGGGTCTCCGGTGTGGCGGTAGTGCATGATGGGGGGCTGCAGGATGGTGATGGGGATACAGAAGTTGAGGTGGGGGTAAGTGGATCCTGCACCAGTGTCCCGGGTATTGCTGGCCACGATCCCTGGTGGGAAGAGGAGTGATGCCCGTGCCACCAGGTCCTGCTCAGGGACACACACGGGCCCCCCTCACCCATGGGAGACCCCAGCTTACCCAGGAGGCGTCCACTACGGGAGGAGACGAGGGGGCCACCGCTGGAGCCCCCATGGACAGCGCAGGTGGTCTGCAGCATGACAGGGCGCCCGGCCACCGCCACCACGGCCGACAGGACTCCCACTGTCACCGAGGGGCCGCACGCCCGCCCCAGCGCCCCGAACCCCACCACGCTCACCTCCTCCCCTGGGATGATGAGGCAGAAGGTGGGTGCAAGGGGGTGATTTCCCTCCCCCTCCGGCACCCCATGTGTCCCCTGAGCGCTTACCTGGGAGGAAGGTGTCTGCTGGGCATGGAGGGATGAAGCTGGGCACGCTCTCCTCCAGCTCCACCACCGCCACGTCGAAGGGGGACGCCTCCTCGGTGGTGAATACCACGCGTCCATTGAGGGTGGCGGCCGGCCTAAGGACACGGGACGTGAGAGGTCACAGCAGGGGCACGCAGCGGGGGGACAAGGTGGGGACACGCAGTCGCACTCACCGGCCGGGGCCCGGTGCCGGCGTCACTCGGAGCGGGGCACCCGCCTCCACCACGTGCCGGCAGGTGAGGAGCAGCCGCGGCGCCAGCAGCACCCCCGAGCCCCACGCAGCCCCGCACTCCACCAGCGCCACCCAGCCCAGCGGGTGCTGCCCGCCGCCTGCCGGCACCGCGGCCACCCGCCCCGGCACCGGCGGCACCACGACCCCGGCTTCGCCCAGGACGCTGGCGCTGCTGCGCAGGATGGCGGCGAGGGAGCAGAGCAGCGTGAGCCCGACCCACTCTGCACCCTTCCAGCAGAAGGAGGCGGCGATGACTGCCACCAAGCGCGGTCCGTCGGGCGAGGGCAGGAAGGCCCCGCCGCCCTCAGTGCCGGGCAGGCACCGCGCGTCCGTCAGGATGAGGGCGTTCTCCTCGCCGGCCAGGTTGCTGACCACCCCTCTGCTCAGCGTGTTGAGGAACAGGTCGGGGCAGAGGGCGCCGAACGGGGACCCGCAGGCCAGCAGCCCCTCGCCCTTGCGCAGGCAGCTGGCGCTCGCCCGGGCGGTCCAGCCCTTCCCGGAGGTGTCGAGGCCGGGCACTCGCAGCCAGGCGAACCAGTGCAGGGCCCGCGGGTCGTCCCCCGCCGGCTCCCCGCCGAAGCGCCACTGCTCGGCCGGCCCGAAGGCTCGCCCCAGCGCCTGCTGGAAGGCTCCACAGGGCACCAGGGCCAGGAGCCTGGCCTCATGCTGCTGCAGGCCGCCGGGCGGGGCGTCGAGGCCGAGGGCCGGGGCGCGGGTCCCGGCCGGGGGCTGTAGGACGAGGATGCGCGGGCAGGGCTGGAGGGCGGCAGGCAGCAGGGCGCGGGGCTGCGCCCAGGCGGCGGGGCCGTCCCGCAGAAACGGGGCGAAGACGGCGCCTTGGCACAGCACCAGCGCGGGGCCGCGGCTCAGGACCACACCGCTGCAGCTCCAGGGGCCGTCCGCCGCGCCGGAAACGCTGACCGCGCAGCAGACCCGCTCCTCCGCCATGGCGGCGGCCGCGGGGCGGGCTGCATGCGGGGCAGCGCTGCCGGCGGGGCGGTGCCAAGCAGCGCAACGTGGAACGAGTCTGACCCGGCCGCGCCGACACCGCCCCCCCGCGGCCCGCAGCGACCGGGAGGGCTGGGCCGGGCCTCGGTACCACCTCCCGGGCAGGGGCCGGTCCCTCTCGGCCCTGGGCCACGCCTCTGCCCTCCCGCCCCCTGCCCGGAGCCCGCTTACCCGACCCTGCGCGACCGGTGGGTCCGTGGCGGGTGCCGGCGTCCGTCCCTCTGTTCCCCGGCATGTTGCCGGGTCCAGCCCCGCTTGCTTCACGGAAGCTTTCGCTCCCTGCTCTCCCGAGGAGCAGGAAATGTTGGCACAACGCGCCCACTCTTCTGTAGGCGCTGGCACTCGTTTCGGGGTGACGAAGCTTCTGAGCTGTGGGCTTGCTCCTCCACAACACGAGGGAGCACCAAAGCTTCGCCTTCTCTGCCAAAAGAAGTACCAGTACCTGCACAATCCCTTCAAAGAGCTGAAACTCCGAGAGCCCTGCTGGTAAATGGCACTGTGGGCCTCAGTGTGGGGCTATTACACCCAGAAAAAGCCCCTGCTTGCTCCTGAAACCCACCAGCTTTGCCGGTTACCAGCCCCGAGGCGGGCAAGCCCTCTGCTCTACCACAACTCCCCCCACCAGCAGCTTGCCTGCCTTCACATTTCCCCGAAGCAGCGCCTTGCCAGGCCCGTACACACTCAATTCTTGTACGGGCTCTGCTCTGCCATGGTGTGGGACTGTCGTGAAGCTGCTTCGCCTGCCAGGGCAGCACTTCAAGCACTCGCTGCTGCTCTGGGGAGAAGGGTGGCTTCAAGCCTGCGCTGAGTGTATGGATCGGTGTCAAGCACTCGTTGCTTGCCTTCAGAGGAGGGCTTGGTGACAGCAAGTTTGTTCTGTCCGTTTGCATTTTGTTGTCCCCTTACTGACAGCAGCACCAGGCACGCATGCGCAACCAATGCCAGGTTAGACTGAGGATCGCTACCCCTTTGGAGGAGAAAGACGTCTTTATTTAACTGAAAATGAGTGCTAGACAGTAATGAAACTTCAGACAAAAAGTCCGTTGAGTATAAAAGAAACCGCTTTAGTCTACATTAATAACCTCATGATATGCAAATGTCAAACACTTCCAAGCTACAACTTCAAGGTTCTTCCTGTGACGCCGCAGTGAGGATTCAACACCCTGGGCAAGTGGGGCCCAGCCTAGCTGCTGGGGGAGCCAGCAGCATGCTGGGGTTGAGCCCAGCATCCCACCGGGAGCAAGCGCCAGCAGCCAACTGCACACACTAAACCAGGTGTGCTGGCAGGGGCTCCCCTTCACCTAAAACATATCCCTGTAAACTAAAGAAGCTCGGATTGCACACGTCAGCCTCTGCGGCAGCCTTGCTGTCGTCGGTCAGCGTGACACAGCACAGCCACCCTACAGCTCTGTTAAGCCCAAATGCTATGTTTATTGAGGACTTCTAATATCATGATACCTTGGTTCAGTAATTTGTGAAATACCTAAATATTGTTAAATATGTTTTTAAAAAACCCTAACCAGACTCTGGACTAAACAAGATGAACGGTCAACTAAAAAGTTAGAAGGGACGCTGTTTACATGAACACTTTCTTTAAAAAATATAATTGCATTTTCTTCCTTTTTCTTAAGTCAATTAACCACAGTGGTGAGACGTGCTCTCTTTCTCAGCTGTTACTGTGCAGCGTGCAGAGTTTGACTTCCCACATCACACCAGCCCCGCTGTAACCAAACTTAAAGGGACGACGTGCACCCACGTGCAGAATGGTGCTGCCTCCCCGTCACGTGGAAAAGAGTTGTGTCACCACTGTGCGACTGGGCAGCCGAAAACCAGGAGTCTCTTGGTCAATGCCAGTATGCGGTTGGAAAGTCTTCCGTGTTCTAAATAGAAAAGTTCATAGGAAGCTGTGAACAAGATCAGTCCAGAGGAGTAAAACTCTTGTGTCCGTCCAAGTATCAGTCAATGTACTGCGATAGCCAGCGGAAGCCCTCGCCGTAGCCTTGCCTCTTCAGCACGCTGCACATAAACACCTCCATGGGGCGCGCATTCAGGTCTTTCAGTGGCACGTTTCCCTAAGGAAATCCAAAGGCAAATCAGAACGTGACCCTGCCGTCCTCTGGGAAGAGTCACTGCCCTCTATGGAAACCTCTGTCTAGGGAAACCAGTTTCTACCCAGGGAATTTCCCCTCTCTGCTGCATCACAGCCCCTTTGCAAGAGGAACCCACCAGACTTTCAAAGCCAGCAGTGTGGGAGCATAGGTGTTAAAAACACTGAAGCAAATGGGTTTTGAGGCACAGTGTGATGTACCTGCGATTTCTGGCAATGCGATACATGAAGCAATTGTCACTGCATGCACAAGCTAGCACCAAGAGTACTACTAGTGGTTTACTTGCAGTGTTTTACTGCCACCACTACCAGTATTCCTAATTAATTCTAACTGTACTGCTTGTAAACACAGAGAAAGTGATCAGATGGGTAACGGGATGGAAATGCAGAGCAGTGAAGCCAGAAGAGCTAGACAACATGTTGACATACCAGCTCGACACCTAATCCCCTCATTGCTGCAGAGGTATTGTGCTTCGCATGTCTGGCAGTTTCAAAACTTG